AAAAAAAAAAAAACTAACTAAGGTTGATTATTTTGATTATGTGCTTATTATAATTACTTTTTTTTTTGGGCATAAATGTTGTCATGCTATGGTGTATCCGCTGATCAATTATAATGTATATCATTGAGAAAAAAATAGTGACTACATAAACATTTGTATTATTGGGAGATATAATAAGGTCACAAGCTCCAATCATTTGTGAAATATTACAAAATTACAAGTTTTAAGATTTGGATTTAACCAATATTATTATAAGCCTGTTGCAGTTAGTGGTTGTTGATATCATCTCTTCATCTACAATATTAGAAGCTTCCCACATAATTTTTCTTTTTATTTTTTATAATAGCATTTTTTATATCTTTTAAATTTTTTTAAAATGAATAAAATACATATTTAAACAATTTGGATATGTATATAAATTACTATATCAACTTGTGTAAGGCACTTGAATGTTTTAAATTATCTAAATATATATAGTTTCACACTTCTAATATTCTATATATTTAAAATTACTAATAAATTAAATTTCGAATTAAACCAATAAACCATTAAACCCATTTCATAACCAATAAAACTCAGCTTTATTTCATTTATGGAGTTTTTATTTGTTGCTTAATGCCTAATGGGAACCAATTACTTGTGCAGCACTTTCTGGCCACCGACAACAATTAAATGCTTAAAATGAGCAAACCAAATACCTCAATTGAGAAATAAATAAATAAATAAATAAAATAAATAAAGATTTTGAGAAGAATTATAATGATATATAATTCAAGTTCATCCACCATAAATATTAAAATGTATGATACATTAGTAATATGAAATCACGTATAATTAGATCGAGAGACTCAATTGTGCATGAGTTAGGTAAGTCGTGTTTTGACGAGCTATAATTATTATTATTTATTAATAATTATTTTAATATTATCTCAACTTAAACATTTAAAAACCAATTATAATCTGGCAAGTATTAATAATGAAGAAAAATAAAATAAAAAAGGGAAAAAAGGACATTAGTGGCAAAACACTTGTGAGTCAACACGAAGGCTATCTTCAATAACTCACCAACAAAAGGAATTTTCTTCTGAAAATGATATAAAACTAAATTGATGTAAACAACATAAAATTTCACCCTACCAATTGCACCTAAGACCTATATGAGTCCAAGGACCAATTTCAATAAAACCCAAGCAAAACAAAAAAGAAAACACACACACACACACACACACACACAATTCGATCAAATACGTTGTAAAATGGAGCTAGACTAGCCCGAGTCGAGCTGAGAAACTCACGACCACGAACCTCCGAGTTTGGTCGAAGGTTAGGTTGGCCCGAAACTCATTCGACTACATGAAGAAAAAGCCCAAGATTATTTGTTTCGTGAACTTCGGCATGCGTAATTTGGACTGAGGACGAGCCTGATTATTCGATTTTAGTTATATTACTAAAAAAAAAAAAAACAATCAACTTAATTAAATAATATCAATCAATCATCCTTATACATCACATCAATTTTAATTTACTATTCATTCACTCACATAATTTTAACTACTCATCACTTTCAATCATCTCTCTTATTTTTACATTAAATCAACTTTTATTATATTATTTCAAATATTATCTTAATATAAACTCAAAATCTCACTAACAATTAACCAAGTCAACTTTTCTAAAATTAACTCTTATTAAAAAAATAATAAAAATAATAAATAAATCAAAACTCAATATATCTATATCCAACCAAGCCCTTTTCAACTCAACTCAAAAAGGCTATAAATGACAAATGAACTGAAAAAAGAGTAGCAAAAATTGCGGTCACAAAATACAAAGGCTCCACCGTCCCACATAACCTACTCACATATTTTAAGGTTAAAAAAAAAAATATTAATAATATAATAAAATAAAATATGATTGAGAAAGCTTTCATCTTTCTAACTGCATTTTCCCCTTTTGCAGAATTGCAGGCATGGTGATAGACAAGGGACAATAACTTTATTTTAACAGCATTTCACCATAGTCTTGATAATAATATGAACTACCTCATATCAGTTAATAATTCATAGTAGAGTCTAGCAACACAGCACAAATGCAGAATACAAGTAGCATCATAATTCTTGTCGATTTTCGACTGGAATTTGCAAGCTATTAGGAAAACCGAGCATCGAAAGTCATATACGGTTGATCAGTTTAGCCAATCGTCGTGCGCTTTCTTCCTCTTCGCCGCACTTAAATTGCCAGAAAGAATGAATCAATAACACATCATTAAGTACATTTTTATTAACAACACTACCATTGATTAGATAAACGTAAACCCAGAGTAAAAAAGGGTACCTTGTGGCTTGGGCTAGCTTGTTCGTGGTTGAGGACCATTGTTTTGATGATCTTTTGTAAGCTTTAAGGATCCTATCCATCTAACACAAAAGGACATTGGCCCAGATCAGAGAGAGATAGAGAGAGAGAGTCCAAAGATGGATGCCTGTACTTTTTCGAAAAAACGCTCCTTGACGACGAACCTTCGACCAACAAAAGTCGACTCGAAGACTCTGAGAAAAAAAAAACAATGAACAAATATACGACTGCCCGATTGCTACTAATGCTTGTGTGATCCATTAGTTCGTGGAAAGGAGAACGAAACTTACAGCTTCCTATCCTAGCAACTAAAAACTATTTAAAATCAGCCCACGAACCAAACCATTTAGATACATACCATTCCAACTTCTTCACCAATACCCCTTGCACGAGCACGACCCGTTCTTGAAATGGTGAAAACGGCTCGAATCCCTCAGCACAATCTCATTCTCTACAATCTTCGAAATATACATAATCGCCGTGTGACAATCCCCACACACTCGCAAGTTCTTTGTAATCCTAATCGGCAAACGAGGAGTAGTCGTGAGAATACCATAAGCCAGTGCTAACTTCTCACTGTGCTCAAGCAAAAGTTCCCTTTTTTCCTCTTCGTCCACATCGTGAAGCGCAAAAACAGTCTCCGGCACGTACCCCATTTTCTTGGCCTGGCTTATCAAATCATCGAGCAAACAGTAAATCTCATTAGCCATCGGGTGAGATTTGTCCCCCACGTAAAAAACCGCCGTCCCGTTTTTCCCTTGCACCCAGCTGCATCCGGGCCTCTTTCGAATCCCCGATTTTTTCATCAATAACCGAACCTTAGCCACATCCTTCCATCTCCTAGCGCTCGCGTACAAGTTCGAGAGCAGAGTGTACAACCCGTCGTTTTCGAAATTCAACTCGAGCAGACGATTAACAGCGAGCTCCCCGAGCTCGACATTCCTATGCAGCCTGCAGCCGCTGAGAAGCGCCACCCAAACTATCGGGTTCGGTTTCATCGGCATTTTCTCGACGAGCTCCAAAGCCTCGTCTAGTCGACCCGCCCGGCCCAATAAGTCAACCATGCACGCGTAATGCTCGACTCCCGGCAAAACTCGAAAATCCCTTTCCATTCGGTAAAAATATTCCATCCCGCGTTCGATCATACCCGAGTGGCTGCACGCATAGAGCACGACTACGAAAGTCACCCCATCTACCGGCAGCCCAGCTGCCCTCATGCGGTCGAAAATCTCTAAAGCTTCCTCACCTCGACCGTGCATTCCATATCCCGTCATAAC